TCTAGAATATTCTGAAGAGTCCTGTGCAGGCGCAGTAAAACTCATTTGTGTGCATTTGCAGAGGCCATGAAGAAGAACCTTATGAAAATTAAGCAAAAATTAAGTCATTTTAAGTCTGCAGCACATATAATCTCTTCCTCTCATCTGTTCTGTTCCCCTGCTCGTGTCTTGCATCTCTCTATAGATCACTAGTGTATACCTATGGAAGCCGCCAATGGCCCTGCTGAGCACAATGTGTGAAAAGCTATTTCAGAAGAAATAATACTGAAAATGTAGAGTTGACATTTGTTGACAAAATATTGTCAGTAAACACTTTGAATTTTCTTTAAGAGTTCAAAAAAGTACTCTCAAACTTATAAATTAAAAGCAAATTTCAAAGATTAGTTAACTGTGAAGAAGGATCGTATAAAAAAATTAAATGTGACAGTGAGACATCCCCCCTTCTCTTCAGGCAGAAGAGATCAACAAGTGTTTTACATACGGAAATTCAAAATATTAATTTGGCGCTGGTTCAAAACCACAGAAGGAAAAGAGAGGAGAAGAGCGGGAGTAGGACAACCAATAACAGGAAGTCTCTTAGTAACGGACGAATGGGAGGAAAAAGCAGGAATACGAAGAAGCTGGGAGTCATTAACGAGTTTAGCCTCAGTAGAGGAGGAAGAGAAAAGGAAGGAGGATACAGAAGGAGAAAAGAGTGAGTGTAAAATTGAGCAAAGGCATAATCCGAAGAGCGGATCAAAACCTTATATATTTGAGTTACCTGAGCTAGGAGAAAGGTTTTGAGAGAAGACGGAAATCTATTTTAGGACCAGTCCCAATGGGATTGGGCCAGACACCTATACTGTGGGGACCATCTGCACGGTTTGGAGTACACCTATGTGAAGACCGATCAGGAAAGATTTGGGATGGTGCCACGTAGAAAGAAATAATTGTAAATAATGACTCTGATAGTATGTGGAACAATTTACCTTTGTTTGAGAGTCCTGTTGGACCTACTGAAGTTGTAATTCAACCCTCCCCTCCTCCCAATACAAAAAGTTTGGTTAAAGAAATTCCATCTCCTGTAATCTCTCATGTAGAAAGAAGGGAACTGTTAAATCTCAAAAAATGAACCCGATCACATTAACTCTAATTATAGGTTTAGGAAAATTTTTAACATCCTTTCTGCTTCAGTTGCAACTATCATGAAATGCAATTGCCACTTAATAGTTTCCACTTTGGGGGGGGGGAAGTATTTATTTAAACTGAATTTATTTTTAAATACATAACTATCTTGTCCCTTGTTATCCTTCACTTTATAACTGATAATGAAGATGATCAAACACTTTAAACATAGATACTTGGAGAATAAAATATTGCAATTTACTATACTACATATTTAGCTCCTATAGATTAAAATCTTTATGCCCAACAAGCATTAAAATTCAAAATGACCTTGACAGTCTTATCAATAAATGTTACATGAATAGTGCTTAACCCAAAATTATTGGTGTATGGTCTTCTTGTCAGTAGTCCGGTTGGGCTCTCTCCCTCCTCTTCTGGTCCCTCTCCCCAGGATATAAAGAACAGTAACTCATTTGGGTAACAATGTCACTGGGGCTCTGCTTTTATTGGCCTGCCAAATATATACAGTGGTGCCTCGACCTACGACCATAATCCATTCCAGAAGATGGACGTAACTCAAAATGGTTGTAGGTCGAAGCATCCTTCCCAGCAAGAAAAAAAAATCACACACACAAAAAACCACAAACCCACAGCCAGCCCCATCGGAATGCGATGGGGCTGAAAAACAAAGCAAAAACAAAAAACACCCCCACCCCCACACAGGCAGCCCCACTGGAATGTGATGGGACTGAAAAACAAATAACACACACACACACACACACACACACACACCACAGTCAGTCCCATCAGAACATGATGGAGCTGGAAAAATAACACAAAAAGACCCACCCACCCACAGCACAGAAATATAACCCCCCCAAAACCCAAACCCATGCTGCAAAACAAAGTAAATGTACTTACTCATGAGCAGAAGGCAGCCCCAGGCAGTCCAAAGCCTCCTCCGATACACACTCTCTAACTGTTGGGGCGAAAGAGCTACAAAGAAGCTCTTCGCCGACCAACAGTTAGCCCTCTAATTTGAATTCCCCACCTTTTTCCCCTGCCTCTTTTGTTTGCAACTCGAAGCTCTGGCCGCAAGTCAAAGCAAAATTTTGCGGCAGGAGCTGGTCGCAACTTGAAATGGTCGTATGTTGGGACGGTCATAAGTCGAGGCACCACTGTAATTGATTCATTTAGTTCAATAGACAGTAACTTCAAAGATAGAAGCCCAAGAATCAAATGGTTAGGAATGATGGGGGAGGGGGACAGAATGATATATCAAAAGAATACAATTTTCTGTACCAAAACAAAAAACACATAGACTAAGGCCAAGTAATCTCTCCTCTCCACAGTGGGAATGCGAAGCTTCCTAAACAGACTGTGCCACTGGCTGACTGTCATGGTCTTGATCTCTTTAAGCTTTATTGTACCAGACAGCAGTTAAAGTCACTAACAATTTATGGAATCTCTAATTCTACTTAATCATTTTAGCTGTCAATAATAGCAAGTGCAGTACCTGACAGCCTGAGAAACAGGGAGTCAATCTAATCAGAACATTAATCACACTGTTTGCGTACTAAAATATTTCTTCATGTCTTTCTGAGAGTTAGATCATAAAGATGGACTTTAAGCTGATTAGAGGAGGTCTGGAATCAGAATCAGGTCAAGTGCTTAGTGTTTATTTAGTCAGCTAGACTATAAAGGATGCTATCATTTAACCATACAGTCCTACACATGTCTACTTCAAAGCAAGATCCCAATGGGATTTACTTCCCAGTATGAATAGAAAAGCCCAAGAAATCTTGTAAAATACAGCAATTTAACATTACAGCAAATTAACGTTTCATGTGGACTTAATTTAAAAACAATGATTTTACAAAATGCCATGTAGCCCGAGTAGTAAGGCACAGTACATCGCAATAGAAAATTAATTTAAGGTAATAATATAATTAGTCATTCCATTAATGACAGCTTGTAAATTGACTTACATTAAAAAATAAGAACAAAAAGTTCTCTGGAAGTAGGCCAAATATCTACTGTGAATATGTAAGTGCTTACTCCCTTTTGTTATTCTGTATTTTGACATTTATAATAGAGTTTATTGGCATTCATAAGGATAATTTCTTAAGATTACTTTCAAAATATACAGACTTAACTATTAAAAGTTGTGATTAATCTGAATGATCATTACAAAAGGGTTGAGACCACTGTCGAGATCCATCCCAAAGCTGTGGCTTCTACACTATTGAAATGTTGCACTAGAATTCCTACTTGCCTTCGAGAGGACTTGAAGGAAACCCACATCTTGGGTTCTACTGGGTCCTACAAGGTGCATAGCTACAAAGAACTATGAAAGTAGTTCCACATGCCCAAGAGGGTTCTCAAACAGCTAGCTTCTCGAATTACACGGCAAACGTCTTGCAACTGTAGGGAGAATAACAGCAATTGTGATATGGCACATGTTTTGCCGTTCAAAGGCAGGTGGGAGTTAAAAACCACACCAATCAGAGCCAGAAGACCGGGTTGAAAACAACTGAGTTTCTAGATCCAAAGCTGGTCATATTCAAAGCAAGTGTAATTTATAGTACAGTAATCTGCAATGGCTGTGAATGCTACTTCCTTGAAGTAGGCTTGCTGTAAGTTGTATGTGTAGGCTTACACTAGAATGCAAGACTGCATCAAACACTAACTCTTTTTGGGAGGGGAGGGACTATTATACCATCCTGAAAAAAATAGAGAGGGCATTAACATAGTTGGATTTGTCAAGGTCTAAAGATTTGTTACAAATATGCGTAACAAAGGAAAGCATGCCCCACAAAGAGGCTCAGCAGCTTCATTTTCAATAGATGTGTTTACAAAAGTGTCTTTTGAACCCAGCAAATGATTTTGTCCTAGTAAAGAGAAGTCTTTAGTGACTCAAGGATGAAAAATGAGAGAGGGGATTACATATAGCAAACATCAGTATGGACTTCATTCAGAGCTTGAAGGAATACAAAATTGACAGCCAACAATGCAGTTTTATTTATATAAAATTCAGGAGCAGTTTTTTTAATCACAGATTGGAAATGTTACTTTTTTGATTTGCTCCCAGAATCATCTAGCTACCAGCAATCTTAAAAATATTTTTAAAAATCTTCCCCCCACCCCGTTATACTTTTTGCATACAGTAAGATACCTACCTTTGCAGAATAGTTCCTTCTTATGTGGTGGATATTAAACTCCTTTTACCACCTGTTCATTGTAGAGCTATCTCATACTTAGGGACCCTCAATAAAGCGGCTTGGGTTTACTCTATACTACATCTGCTTTGTTAGCTCCTAGGCATCTCCATCAATTTCTCGAGTTTGAAATACACATTAAGAAAATTCTTCTCTTCTCAAATGCAGAATAGGTGGATGTTAAAAACTAAAGTTCAGTATGTAAAGAAACAACAGGAAATAATTTTAGGATATAAAGTGCACATACACCCACATATACATTTTTAAGGGATTCATCGTTTCCTGAAGCATATGATGCATTTCATTTTTTTGGAAGTGTGTTTGCTCTTCATGTACATGTTAGCAATACACCCTCTCAACTGGCAGCAGCTTACTATAATCTAGACTCTGTGCCATGAAGCAGAAAACTGGGTATATGGCCTTTTGTTTTTTTCCATTTCTGTTTTTCAAACACACAGAGTGAACATATACTATAAGGGTCATCTTTCTTCAAAGTGGTTGTGCAAATTTGTTGCAGCAACAGCAACAAAGAACAACGCCTTACAGATCTGATGAGATGGGTTGTAATCCATGAAATCTTTCTCTTCATGCAAATAAGGCAGGGATAAAGTTATATTTCACCAACACACTTTCACTCTTCAGAGCAAAGTCTTCCATCACTTATGTCTGATAACTTACCCACAGGGCCTGTATGTAAACACAATGTAACTTTCTTCATCACTTCGCTCAATGAATGTAACACAGGTATATTTTTCCCAGTGCCGCATTGCCTGCTTGAACATGGCTCGCTGGCTGCCTGGAATCAACATTTGCAATGAAATACATATGACTTTTTTAATGTACCCTATTTCATGCCAACATTATTAGTGTAATTATTTTAAAATACATGCAGGTAAGAATGTTTCAATGAAACGTAAGTGCAGGCTTCAGAAATCAGCTTGTAAATAGTATAAATCAGGGACATTTGTGTTTTTAGACAATTCCCAGAATTCCCCAGACAGTGCAGCACATCTACTATACATTTTAAAAAGGAAGGACCACATTTTCAAAGCCTACCAATATTCACACAACTGCATGTTATCTATCAAGCAGAACACACAGTCCATCAGCCACATCCTGCAATCTGCCAGATATCTGACAACACCCCCATATTTCATAATGTAAAGTAAACAGGATCAGAAGGTTTTTTTAAGCTTCTGAAGCTCAAGTGTACTTCAGTCAGTTTGGGTTAGTGAGTGATAATTAACACAGATGTGTTACAAGCTGAAAATGCATACAAGTCTTTCAACATTACTGTACTGGAGCTCCTTACAGGTAGATTAACAGCTGCTGATAAGAAAACAGTCATGTTGCTATCTTCAGTATGTGTGCAACAAATGAAGAAAGGAATACTGCTGCAATTCATAATGATTCATATACACATAGAAGCATCCTTCTATGTGCAGAACCTTTACTTGATACAGACCTATGTATAGTTTTACTTATATTGTGTTATAATATTTTCTAATACCGGATGATGACATACAATTTAATTTTGACCCATTTTATGCAAAGTTCCATACATTCAGCTGGAGGCATTCTGATGTCTACACACATAGAAGTGCAATATTTTCATACAAAATGGTTAAATATAGCTGGTTTGATGAGAATCTCGAAGGGGAAGTTGGATTTCTTTGCTAATAAGTACTATGATTTAACGTATTTCATTCATTACTTTTCATTGTCTATTTTGTTTTCAGGAGATAACACAATTGTACAGAAAACTACAAAGAATCCACCAATAAAGGTAACTGCACTCTGCAGACTGTGGAACATGCAGGTTTTTTTAAAAACTGAACATTCAAAGCCATGTTTAGCATAACTGAAATTTCACACACATATAAACAATAAATTCAAAAAACTCCAGAACTAATTTGTTAAAAATAGTATTTTACCAAGGTAGGGACCAGTTCCTTGATGAATCTGATAAAAGTGCATCTTCCATCAATCTTACCAGTGAAATTTCCTCCTATAACATATGGAATGACACCTCCTGGCCATATTCTTTCTGTACGCGATGTAGCCGCTCTAGGTATCCTTTTTCTGTCATAGCTCCCTGAGAATGTTAGTGCTGCTCTTCCCTTAGTTGTATTACTTTGATCAAAGCCTGCAATGAAATTCACATTGTAAAATGGAAGAAAATGCTTACAGAAATGGCATTTTTTTTAAAAAGGCATTCACATTTTAATACACATCATGTTTAGCCTTGCAGTACAATTAACAAGCATGGCTTAATGTGAAATAGCTGTGTGCCGATTTCCATGGGGCTATTTATAATTCGGCCTATCACAGCCATGAGAATGCTGTGCTCTAAGAGGGTTTTGAAGAGTGCTATGGCCATTAGAGAACAAAGTCAGTTTGTTGTTGCTGATGGTTGAAAAAGATAGAACGGGGAGTTGAAACAAAGAAACAAAAGGTTACCTACCTGTAATTGTAGTTCTTCTAGTGGACCTCTGTGACTCAAACTGTGGGTGATCCACACATGCGCGGAGCCTCGTCGGAATCTTTTAGCACTTCTGTGGTTGCAAAAAGATACATTAGTGCAGACCCCTCCCCCGGTATATGTACCTTGGTGCCAAGGCTCTCCCTTCAGTTAGGTCAACTGCTGCATAAAGAAAAGGGTGTGACAGTGGGGAGACGGGGTTGGGATGTATGAATCACAGAGGTCCAGTTGAAGAACTACAATTACAGGTAGGCAAGCTGTCGTTCTTCTTCATGGCCTCTGTAAACCACACTGTGGGTGACTAACAAGCTACCTTACCTGGAGGAGGGTGTCATGCCAAGGTAGGTGATAATACAGCATGCCAAAAAGCAGCATCGGATTTCTGCCAAATGTCCAACCGAAAGTGATTGATTAACGTGGATGACTGTGACCATGTGGCAGAGGTGCAGACATCAGCAAGGGGAATCCCTTGAAGAAATGGCATAGATGTCACCAACACCCTGGTGGAATGAGGGCGGATACTCTGTGGTGCTGGAACTTGAGTGAACTGACAGGCAAGCTGGATGGTAGACGTAACCCACTTGGATATTCTCTGTGAGGTAACTTGGAGATCCTTAGCAGGAAGTTGGTAGCTGTCAAAAAGGCCAACTGAGCGTCTGAAGGATTGAGTGTGGGCTATGTAGAAAGTCAGAGACCGTCATACATCCAATGTATGGAGAATCCTTTCTTTAGGATTAGATGGAGAAGGGAAGAAAGACGTCACAACCAAGGGTTGGGATAGGTGAAACTGTGAGACACCCTTGGGCAGGAAAGAAAAATTTACAAAGAGTTTAACTTTATCAGGGTAAAGCTGGAGATAAGGGTAGCCAGACCTTAAGGCTGCTAGTTCACTAGCATGTTGTGCTGACGTGATAGCTACAGGTATAAGGAACACCGTCTTAAAGGTAAGTAATCTGAGGTCAGTTGACACAAGGGGTTCAAACGGGGCCCTTGTAAGGTGTTGGAGGACTAATGTCAATGACTACTGAGGTGGCAGAGGACGTATGTCACAGTATATGTGTGACAATCCTTTGAGGAAACGTTTCAGAGTAGGATGCATGAAAAATTTAGCTGCTGGAGAGATTAGTGGTTGATAAGCCACAATTGCCGAAAGGTAAAATTTGAGAGATGAAAGAGAAAGGCCTTTAGTTTTTAGTTGTAACAGAAAACGAAGAACAGTGGTAAGGGAAGGGTTGGTGGAGGGTAGTGATGACACTGTAGTGAATGACTGGAAATTTCTCCATTTATAGATGTAGGCCTGCCTAGTTGAGGGTTTCTTTGCGTGATGAAGGACATTTATCACAGAGGCAGAATTCTCCACACTGTGAGAAGGAGGAGGACAGGGAGATCTGGGTGGAGAAGTTGATTTTTGTCTTCTGTAAGCAGATGAGGCAGGTGGGGCAGTTGATAAATGTCAGCCGACAGCCAGAGGAGAATCAGGAACCATGGCTGTTGCGGCCACCATGAGGCTATCAGGATAGCATTGGGCCTCTCCTGTTGAAGGCAGACTATGACCTGGTGGAGGAGTGGGAACAGTGGAAAGAGGTAAGTGAGTGATTTGGGCAACAGGCTGACAAATGCGTCACCGCAGGAGTTCTTGCCTACTCTTACATGGGAGCAGTAACGTTTGCACTTCCGGTTTGTCACTGCAGGAGTTCTTGCCTACTCTTACGTGGGAGCAGTAACGTTTGCACTTCCGGTTTGTTCGGGAGGCAAAGAGGTGGGTAGGTGTGCCCCAGTGTGTGCACAGTGAGAGAAAAACAATCTGATCTATTTCCCACTCATGGGCTTGAGATTCTTTGCGACTGAGCAAATATCAGTATGCCGTGAGATAAATGTGATGGGAGAGTCACCATTCCCACAGGCCAACAGCGAGATATAGGAGACGTGGGGAGTGAGTGCCCCCGTGTTTGAGAATATAGTACATCATGGTGGTGGTATCTGTGGCTGTTTGGACCATTTTGCCAATAAGATGCTTCTTGAAAGCTTTGCAGGCTTTTATTACTGCTAAGAGTTCTGGTTCGTTGATGTGGAGCAACCTTTCTCTTTGTGACTACTGGGCATGGATTTGTAAGGACCGGCAGTGGGCACCCCAGCCACTGAGGCTGGCATCTGTGGTAACTTGGATTTGTGGACAGGGTTGTTGAAAAAGTCGTCCCATCATCAGGTTTTGAGTGGAGTACCACCATGAAAGCTCGGAGGTGAGTTCTGGAGTGACTCACTGTAGAGTATTTGGTGGGTCTGTCACCAGATTGAATAAGGCCAGGAACCATGCTTGAGAGGTCTATAACAGCGAACCAGTCTTTTTTGCAAAGTAGTGGGATGATGGACTCGAGGGTAACCATGCAGAATTTGGTGGTAGTGATATATTGGTTTAGTTCTCTAAGATCAAGGACATGGCGGAGGCCTCCATCTTTTTTGGGAATGGTGAAATAACGAGAGAGAAAACCTTTGACTGTATGGTGTAGTGTTATTGGTTCTATGGAGTCTTTGAGTAGCAACAACTGTATTTCATCCTGTAGAGTTTGCGACTGAGATGTGATGGTGTGTGATGGTGGAGGAAGCTGCTGAAATTCTATGTGGTACCCATGTTGTATGATGGAGAGGACCCATGCATCTGTCTTTCCATGCAGGTAAGTGCTTCCAGACGGCAGACAGCTAAGTGAGAGGTTGTACTGGGATCTCGGCTGGTTGCATGTCAGACCTGATGTTTAGGTTTGCAGCCACTACACTTGGTTGTGGTTTGCTGTCGAGGTTTGGCTCAGTAAGGTTGTTGTTTGTAGTAAGGCACATTAAGACGTTTGCCTCTAAGATTCCTGTTGGAATTTTTGATAAGAGGTGTAAGGGCGGTACCACTGAGTGTGCTGAGGGCGTTGTTGGTGTGTGGGGTAGACGCCCCTCTGCCTGGCAGCTATTCTCTTTTTCTGGACATTCTTGAGAATGTCATCCATCTCAGCATTGAAGAGGCCAACTCCATTGAAGGGGAGGTCTTCAATGCACGCATGGGCATCCTCTGTGAGACCTGCAGTTCTAAGCCAGGAGAAGTGCTACCAAGGTAGCCATAGATTTTGACATGGCATCGACAGTGTGTCTAGCAGATAGCATCTGTTGTTTAGCTACCGAGAGACCTTCTTGTTTGTGCTAAGATCCTTTTTTTCTTTGGGGAGTGCATCAATAAAGGTAGACATATTGTCCCAAATAAAGCGCTGGTAGGCACCCATAGTTCCTTAATAGTTGGCGACCCTCATAGTAAAAGCAGAAGAAAAATATAGCCATCTGCCCATAGAGTCAATGAGGCTGCTAAATTTATTAGGTGGTATTAGAACCTGTCAATGTTGAGAGCGAGATTGTGAAGCCTCGACAAATATGGAATTAAGAGCCGACTGTTTTTACAAAAAGATTGCATCAGGGTCATGCACTCGATAGAGGTTGTTGATGCACTTCGACACCATGTGTGATGAGGCTGGTTTGGTCCAGGAACGCCTAGCTAGATGAGGCTGCTATCTTTATTAGGTGGTATTAGAACCTGTCAATGTTGAGAGCGAGATTGTGAAGCCTCGACAAATATGGAATTAAGAGCCGACTGTTTTTACAAAAAGATTGCATCAGGGTCATGCACTCGATAGAGGTTGTTGATGCACTTCGACACCATGTGTGATGAGGCTGGTTTGGTCCAGGAACGCCTAGCTATGCTAAGGAGAGATGGGAGCATGGAGATATGGACTGATGTGGTAGTGTCCTTAGAGATGGGATCATAAAGATGATCTGCTGGCTCAGTAGTAGGTCTGTGGATCTGTAGGTTGAGTGATTTGGCCAAGCAAACCATTAGCTGAGCATAGGTTTGGAAATCTTCCACCAGTGATGGAGGGTCCATGACTGCTACGTCAAAGTCTGGTGATGTTAACGGTACTGATAGTGTTTGAGGTCTGGAACTATGATCAGACGGTTTGGCATTGTGCCATGAGTCGATCGACTGTTGATTGACATCAACGTAAAAAAGCTGGTCTTCCAAGTATTGCTGTTGACACTGAGCTGCCAACGTTGAAGGTACATTGGTGGACAGCAGTCGATATCAAGGGTCATCGACATCAAAGGGATCAGTATGGAGCGATGTCGATATGGAAGTTGCTGTCAGTGTTGAGACAGCTGCTGAGGTGGCAAGGGCATTGATGGACCACATTGGATCACAGTGGAATAGACAGATTCCAGTGATGCCAACTGGAATGAGTGTTCACAGTCATCCAGATGGGCAGGAAAGTAGTAGCTTGCTGGTGCCGTGAAAGTGACCAGAGCCAAAGAGCATTGATCGGCTCGTCTAGGTTTCTTAGGTGCCAACTGATAGGAGTTGCCTGGTAATTCTGGGTGATCATGCTGGTAAGATCACTTCAACACTGAAGGCTCCTGTATGGGGACATGCTCTGGCGCCGCTGCTGAACCAGGAAAAACTGGTCGACAGTGCTTGGCGGACCTCTCCGTTGGGCACCGATCGGGGCAAAAGGCATCCCAATGATGGTGCTGAGCATAATTCATGTCCACGCTAAAAGGCAAGTGAATGCTGTTGTAGGATTGGTGCCTCTGTTGATGTGCCGGAGGCTGAGGTGGAAGGCCTGTTGGGGCAGAGTAAAGCACGGTTTCGAGTTGCATTTCAGTTCCGTAGACATCCGGCAAAGCAACTGGTAACTATAGAAGAGCCAAAAAATTGTTGAGGGCAGGTAGGAGAAGTCGTGAGTCAGTCGACACGCTGTTCCCATTCAGGAGGCAGTGATGGTGATGGCTGGTGAGGTAGAAGTGCTGTGAAAGAACCATCCGAGAAAGAACCAACACAGATGAGGTCTCCGGACTCCGGTGGTTGTGGAGTCGGGAAAATGGTTTTACAGGGCTTCGATTTCTTCAGTGGTGAAGGTTCAGGTGCTGAGGAAATGTTGGTGGACGGTTTTCGTTTGGTGGCTGTTTTTGATGTCTTTGTGCACCCGCATGGTGCTCGATGTCGGAGGCACAACAGGTTCTCGGTGTTCATAACGAGATGGAGTAGCCGAAGGACACTGCTTTGTCACCTCAGAAATGGCTTTATTCATGGTTTTAGTGTGGGCTATGGATTTACAAGAAGATTGGGCCATGGGTTTAGCAGGTTGCAGAGATTGCTCCCAAAGCTGAAGTTTGAGCCTAGAAAGGCAACTGAGGAGAACTCCGCGCTTAAAGTTTTTACAGTGAGGGCATGAGGAAGTTTGATGAGCCTCACCGAGGCAAAAAAGGCATTTGGCGTGGCCATCAGAGAGTGGGATTTTGTTATCACAGACCACGCAGCATTTGAATGGGCCTGAAGAGGCCATGAACAAAAAAATGGGGGGAAAGGGGGGTGCTTCGGCCCTAAAGCAGGAGCGTACTTGATTTGGAAAAATATAACAGGGACTGGTAAAGAAAGGAAATTTTTAAATAATAAACGGTAACTAACTTTCTTTCATTTTTAGAAAAAAACCTCACAGAAGCTATCAATCGAGGCTCTCAACGCAGTGGTTGAAAAGAAACTGAAGAGAGAGCCTTGGTGCCAAGGTACATATACCAGGGGGGAGGGGTCTGCACTAATGTATCTTTTTGCTATCGCAGAAACTCTAGAATATTCCGATGAGGCTCTGCACATGCACAGATCATCTACAGTATGATTCATAGAGGCCACAAAGAAAAACAAAGGTTGTTATATGTAATTTTTGAGGTGAAAGGTAGAGGTAACAAATTGTAAATGGGTATAGTTAAAAGTGGACTGGAAGTGTGAAAAGTGACAATTGTGATACAACAGTCCAACAAAAGGAGTTGCTGACCCAGGAATGGATTTAATAGACAATATAGTAGCAGATGTAACAGAAATGTAGAAGATAAAGGCATGATGAAATGAGCTAGCTAAATTGGAATGTAATTCAGAATTTTTGCTAATTAGGAAAGAAAGAGAAAAGGGAAAAGAGAGGGAAAAACTCAGATGGGAAAGAGGAAATTAGAAGAAAAGAGAGAAAGGGAAAGAACACGCAAACTGGAGAGATGTATGAGACTGAAAGTACTAGAATGAAAAGTTAGTTTGGCACCTACTACTCTCTTGAGTAGAGATTATCCTCTTGTGGCTATGAAGATTTTCCCAAAATATTATAAAGGAGACCATATGGAATCCATTTTCATAAGCTCCAAAAGAGTATGATATAAGAGTGGAGGATAACAAGAGAATGGGATATTTACATTCTCAAATCTCTGGGGGCTTGGTAGAAATATATGGAGAGATGAGGATAGAGGAATCCCTGTATTACTTGTTAACCAGTGAGGGCATTAGACAGTGGTTTGGTTCAGCTGCAGAGCACTGCTGAAAAGAGTTCAGCTTCACAAAGAAAAAAAATTATGAAATGTATACTCAGTTGCAGTGTAGACTGGACAGACTTCTAAATAGCTGGCTGAAAGTGTCTAAGGCAGACACAAGAAAGGCTATGATAAACAAGATTGGGATTAGAGCTGTTTTATCACATTTTACCACAGGAATTCAGATGGTTGGTTCAGGATAAATAACCATGGACAACAGTCCAAGCACTTCTGTTTATGAATACCTTGGTCCTCTTGAAAAGAGCAGCAGGGAGAAAAATGTTTCCCTCATAACAAAAGGCAGCTCTTTTGGAGAAGAAAATGCGGGTGTGTGTGTGTGGAATGGAAACAGGCTAGCTACCAGGTGCCTGAGGAAAAATGTTATGGCAATAATGATGAGCTCTTAAGCAAAGGCCTCAAGCCAAAACATAAAGGAACCACATGTTATCAATGTTATCATGTTATCAATATGGGCCTATGGGACATTTAAATAAAACTGCCTAAAAGTTTTTAAAAAATCTGAATGGGGGTCAGAAGGATGACTTCAATGAGGAGAAGGTGGCATCCAGACAGTTAACTTCAACCACTTCAGACAGGAGAAAACCTGGTGAATTTGTTATAGAGACTGAGAGACAGTTAATTTTTTGGCCACACAGCCAACAAAACCATATGTGTTACTGACTGCAGGAGAAGAAATAGACCCTCACTGTAGAGGGAAGTTGAAGTGAGTAGTTGTAATATCTTGGCTGCAGGGATTCAGGAGCAGAGGTCTATGTAGATAAGTCACATGTCCTAAATCTGTCAGCAAACACAAGAAGGAAAACAGATTTTCATTAAGGGGTTAGGAGGTCAGCTTTTCCAAGTACCAGTGACTAAGTTGACCATCTAGTGTAGAAATTGGATGGGCCCCTGGGAAGTGGTTATGTTTCGTAACATACCAGCATCAATGAAATTTGGAAATGACATGGCCAAGCACATTGCCAGAGTCTATGTAACTACCCTCCACCAGCCTAAAAATGAGCAAACCATGAGTCCTTCCATGGAAAAAGATGATGTCCATAAAATTACAGGACCCAATAAGCTTTTTGTGGAGAAAAAAGAGAGGTTGAATGTATTATGTTTCAAGCTCTTTTTTGCTGGAGATATAAGGGCAACCAGGCTTACATACAGCTTAACTCAAAACTTCTATTGGCCAAAAACTAATAATAATGCACCAGAATACTGTTGAATCAATGTGATTTGTCAGATACTGAAGGGTCTAGAGATAAATCATGGTCACAATGACATCCCTTGCCTGTTGTTGTTACACCTTTTCAGAGAGCAAGCAGTAATACAGTTGGTTTAACACCTGGAGGAGAAATATTTGCTGTCTTTTATGAATTATATCACCCAATATCCTGAAACTGTGGCATTAACCAGCATGGCTGTTGCATTAATGAGCTTCTTTAGCCAACTTGCTTTACTTAAGGACATATTTCTTGATTTGGGAGTACTGTTCATGTCAGCTACTATGAGAAAACTATGGGACTTATGTGGAATTAAACACATACTCTGAGACAAACGGATCAGTGAAGTGATGCATAACAATTGTAATAGGAAATATGCAACATGTAAATATAGGAATTATATAACATAATGAATAAATAATATTCATTAACATGTGAGTATTAAAAGAATCTCATTGCCCAGTAATGTCACCACTTTGAGATAAAAGTTTGAGGTATGGTTACAAAAGAAAGGACATGTGATGGAAAGCACTGGTATCTGCTTTTTCTTAGATGAAGGCTGTCATAGTCCTCAGAATGGTATAGCGGGCTTAAAAAGTGGCCATCAGAGAAAGGCAGGATACAGTGGTGCCTCGCTTAATTATTGCCCCGCATTACAATGAATCCGCTTTACGACAAACTTTTTGCGATTGCAAAACGATGATCTAAATGGGGGAATTTTGCTTTGCAATGATCGGTTCCCTGCTTTGGAAACCGATTCTTTGCAAAATGATGTTTTTTAACAGCTGATCGGCTGCTTCAACATGACCGCCGGCTTTCAAAATGGCCCCCCACTGTTTTCTAGGGACGGATTCCTCGCTATACAGGCAGCGAAAATGGCCACCGTATGGAAGATCTTCACTGGACAGTGAGTTTTTACCCCATTTCAATTGGGTTTTTATTTTCGCTTTGCTATGTTTTCACTTAACAGCAATTTTCCTGGAACGGATTATCGTCGTTAAGCGAGGAACCACTGTATTGTGGTGGTTGCCGAGGGTTGAGAGAGAGATTTGAAGAGAATGGAGCACTGAGTGCTATACTTTAAAGGTGGAGGAAGCAACTGGGAGAGTTCAGGGAAAGGCTAAAAAAATGCAATTGTAACAGAAACCAAATGTTTGATGGTCAACCAGCCTGGCATTCTTGATGCTGTATTCAAGCATTGAAAATAAAAGTATTAATGTTTTATATTTCAATTGTTGTCTGAATCTATTTGGACAGGGGAGTTATTGGATTCCGGCCATACACTAACATAGCACAGAAGACATACAACCCTATCCTTTGGTGGAATGTTTTTTTTTATTTCCCTTAGGAAACATGAGTTAGGTTCTGATGTGGAGAAAGCATACCAACCCAAGGTAAATAAATTTGTAAAATGTGGTTGCATTTGTGGATTGTACTCCTGCAATAAACTGAATGATGGTGACACATGGATGTGATTTTTGTGCAAAATTCAAAGTGCACGTACCTATGGCTTGCAATAGGAACATGCTTCACAGTACCCTCATTTTTTGCATTGTAAGGGCTATGGTTCACTGAGTTAGATATCTGGCTGTGGAGCCTAAGTTGGGAGTTCAATTTCCCACTGTGCACCCTAGAAGAGCCAGCCTGTGTGGCCTCGGGCAAGCTGCACAATCTCAGAATGCCCCCCAAAGAAGGGAACAGTAAACCATTCCTGAGTACTCTTTACTTAGAAAACCCCGAAAGGTTTTGCCATGAGTCATAATTGATGGCAAACAATTATTATTAATGTCTATGTACCCACTGAAAGAGTGCAATACCTGAACCAAATGTTCTTATTCTGTCTATTAGCTGATAGAGAGCATCACTTTTTTTTGACACTCCATGTTCTCCAAATCCACCTTTAAGAAAAGAAAATCAAGTGAGAAGCAAAATACAGGCATTTAGCAAATGAAAGAGAGAAAATTTTCTGAATGCCAGGCACTGCCGACAAAAGATATTTCAAACACAGTGGAAAATTCTTGTTACAACATTCAAATTTTTTTACATAGAAAATAAAACGTAAACCTATTTATGTTGTAAGGGTTTTCAGCACACATTCAATATCCCAGCAAGTATAAATTTGGTATTCCAACAATTGATAATGATATTATTTAATTATTATCTGGGAATCTTAGTATTATGGAAGGCAAACTACACCCTTCTTTTAGAGAAGTTAGGCTTTATGAATAGAGATGGGACATTTACATTCGTCTCTCAGGGGAGATGAATATGGATATCAGCACCACAGGGGGCTGGGCTGAATGGGCCCTCCCCCCCGGAACCAGGCCATCCACTTACTGCTTGCAGCATGGCGTGCATGGCTGTTGTCATTCGTGCTGTGCCAATCACAGAAATAGCCTGGCTGGGGCTCCCCCGCCTCCCTGCACTGCTAACCAATCCAGTAAGGAATTGAGATGATAAGTTTCTCTGCTCAGCTGCTGAGTGGTCAGCAGCACAGGGAGGTGGGGAAGCTCTGGTCGGGCTACTTCCACGATTGGCACAGTATGAACGACGATGGCCATATGCACTGCACTGCAAGCAGTTAGTGGACAGCCTAGTTCTAGTGGCAGGCTCCTCTTGGCCTGGTCACCTGTGGTGGCAATATTCGTATTTGTCTCCCCTGGGAAATGAATACGAATATCTCATCTCTGTTTATGAAAGTACAGGTATCTAGGGGTATTGAATAACAGAGCATATATATGGAAAAAATACAAACTCATCTTACTGTGAAGTTATTCATACGAGTGCATCTTGGTAACACTGTAATGTACAGATGTTAACTTTTCATATAGTTCAATAACTCAATTGATCCGATATAAAACACTTCCAAAGTACTAAATAGTACAGCCACTAATAAAACTGTGTTGATAATTCTTAGGTAACTTTACACAATATATGTATCTGATACTTGTAAAGAGACAAATATATATTTAATATTGGCCAAAATTATGTTGTGTGACTTGCATCTGTGGAAGACTGATGATGTCATCAGTGGCTGTGGGGGTGTCAGTATGTAAAGACTTCCTGTTTCTTTCCTGTGGTTTATCCAAGGAGGATAAAGAGGTTGGTTTTAATTACCAAAAATCACCATCACCTAATGATGTTACCATCAGGTAGAGATCTAGGGGGATCGAAAGTTTTCCTCCATTCATCTTATGGTTCCTACAATTTCCACACAATGAAACAGACTACTCATTAGTAGAAAAACTTGTGAGGTTAAAGTAGCAAGTCTTTAATTACCAAAATTGGTGCTAGTGACATCACTCTTCCACAGGTTTAACTTTTTGGTCATTATTTAAAAGTATCTAGTGTTAACTACTGTTCATGTAAACTTTTAAAAGGCAACCCAATGCATGTTTGTTTAGAAGTAAAACCTGCTAAGGTCAACAATGTTTGCTCTCAAAGAAGCATAGCATTCCTTAAGGAGATACAATGAAAATAGTTTAGGTATTTCAACCATTCCCCAAATTCTTTCAATGTATAGTCTCATGCAATCTTCTGAAATGTCAGTGTTCAAAACGGTTGTTATAAAATGCACAGTGCCATATAAGGCCAGTATGTTTGCATGATTACTCTGTAATCTGCTTAATTATTTCTGGTACATTGTCACATAGCTGCAACAACCCTTGAGAAACATTGCTTAAATTTTTGCTTAGATTTTAAGAGAATGAGGCAATAGTCTAAGACATTCTTCTCCAATGAGGTATTTTGTTCTGCACAGCCCACATACATTTATTGATGCCACCATTTTCAGGCAAGGATTTAATTCATGGAACATATATGGTGAAAGGAACTGGACAATTACATAGAAGAGATAGATCTCTTTAGTTGACTAACAGTATTGTCCTACTTATGACTACTTACAGTTACTTATTCTCAAGTAACTAGGTCTATGACTGCACTATAATACTACATGTGTAATATTAGAATCATGTCCCATTGAATTCAGTGGGGTTCATTCCCAGATATACGGATACACAATTATAGGCTAAAGAATGTACAGATAAGCTGCACTATTAACTTTTAAAGGTGCATTACAGTATTCATTCAAAGAAGAAAAAATTCTTATCCTTACTCTAAATATTTTTGCTTGTAATCCTTTGAGACGATTTTAGTATAGGCCCCAAAAATATACTTTCTAAAATATCACAGTCTAACCTAGAAAAGAATATTCAGCCTTTTCAGCATATGATCAATCACACATGTTTCTCATGCAAGACATGGAGAAAATTAATCTGCGAGTTGTATATAGTATAAGATGACAGGATAATTGTAACATGAATGTCTTCAGATGTCTGTGTATCAAAACAAAAATGCAAGCTAAACAAATTGATCAATTATATTCAAGTTTCAAGAGAGGTTATTTGTTTTGCTATATGTATCTGTCAGCAAAATTCTACTCTGAAACAGTTCAAAGCTAATTAAAACTATTTGTTATGGGGAAAAGGTAGAGAAATAACAGTTAATATTTTAAATCCAAATCTTAAAAAAGATCAAAGATGTAGAACAATCAGTGATTTAAAAAAAAATTAAAAAGGGAGAATAGGGTAAAAATTGTCTATTCATTACTTTTTTAATTAAAAAAGAAGGCGAACCTCCAACCAAATTAATATCAAACCACACAGTTACTATTATCTGACTGACTACATTTAGACTCCATGAAGAGTCTAAAAGAGATTTTTTCAACTCACTGGTTGAAGTTATGCCTTTAACATATTTTGTTGTTGTTCAATCGTTAAGTTGTGTCCGACTCTTCATGACCCCATGGACCACAGCACGTCAAGCCCTCCTGTTTTCCACTGCCTCCTGGAGTTTGGTAACATTCATGTTGGTAGCTTTGATGACACTGTCCAACCATCTCATCCTCTGTTGTCCCCTTCTCCTCTTGCCTTCATACTTTCTCAACATCAGGGGCTTTTCCAGGGAGTCTTCTCTTCTCATGAGATGGCCAAAATATTGGAGCCTCAGCGTCAGGATCTGTCCTTCCAGTGAGCACTCAGAGTTGATTTCCTTCAAAATGGATTGGTTTGTTATCTTTGCAGTCCAGGGGACTCTCAAGAGTCTCCTCCAGCACCACAATTCAAAAGCATCAATTCTTCGGTGGTCAGCCTTCTTTATGGTCCAGCTCTCATTTCCATACATCGCTGCTGGAAAAACCATTGCTTTGACTATGCGTACTTTTGTTGGCAAGGTGATGTCTCTGCTTTTTAAGATGCTGTTTAGGTTTGTCATCGTTTCGTCCCAAAAAACAGGCATCTTTTAATTATGTGGCTGCTGTCACCATCTGCAGTGATCATGGCGCCCAAGAAAGTGAAATCTGCCACTGCCTCCATATCTTCCCCTTCTATTTAATAGACAGTCTTACAAATATTGTTAGGTGGTATAATTATCTTCATGCTGTGAATGCTTCATTTATTGATCTCTATAGCGCTAAAGTCAGGCCACTTAATCTAGGTTAGCTGAGATTAGTAATGGCAAGGTCAGAACATGTAACACATCTTCTCCTCCAACACCTCCCAGTTGAAAGCTGCTCGCAAAAGATCTCAAATTTTAGTGGTTATTTTATAACCACTGGTATTGCCTGTGGACATAGGTTGGTGAAAGACATGATAGGAAACAAATGGGACTGCACAACCAAGACTATCCATCAAGAAGCACAACACAGATATTGTGGGGTACATACAGAACCCTGACCATATTTTCAGCCCCCAGTCCACTGGGGATTGTACTGAGTGGATTGTACAAAGCAGGTAAAAACAGCCCACATTTTGCTGTTTTTCTCATTTTATGGATATTTTCCATCATATTGTCTGTCTTAGTGTTGACTAGACCCATGGCATCGAATGGGAGGTCCTTTATCCTGGTCTTGGTGTTGTCAATGATGTTGGATGATCTAAGCCAGGCATGCCTCCTGGTGGCTATTGAGGTAGCCAAGGTCTTGGATGAAGCATCCGCAGTGTGTCTCGCAGCTACCCTCTGTTGTTTGGCTAGGGCCGTAGCTTCTGTATATGTATTCAATAGATCTGGTCTCACTGCTTCAGAAGCTGCTTGCAGCATCGGGAGTATCTTGTCCCATAAGTGTCTTTGATAGGCGCCCATGACTGCTTGGTAATTGGAAATTCTAATCATCAGCAATGTGAGGGAGTAGAGTTTTCTACTCATGGAGTCCATTTTGGAACCCTCCCTATTTATCGGGGTCATCAAAGACTTGGTGCATGACATACTGGGTTGACTCAACTACTATTGAGTTAGATGTGGGATGTTTGAGTAGAAAAGTGGTGTCCGGGCCTTGTGTCTTGTAGTGGTGTTCGACTCAGCATGTGGTCTGTAACGCCGAGGGTGGCTTGTCCCAGGATTCCTTGTAAAACTGCAGTAGTGCCAGTATGAGGCTCAGGCTAGGAGGAGGGTCTTATCTTGTTCAAGATCATGGAAAATGAGGTCCTTCTGTTGCTGAGAAGGTAGTTGAGTATCCAGCTGTAAGGTTTTGGCCATTCTAAGGATGAGCTGAGCATATGACATGTAATCCTCCGAAGATGAAGGAGGGTGGTTGTCAAGCGCGTCCAAATGAGGAGCGGGATGTTGAATTGTGGAGACATCCGATGAAGATGAGCCTTCATCTTGGGAGGAGGTGGAAGACATCGAGGGGGAACAGTCTGTTCCTTCTATGTGTGATCTCGGGTATGGAGCCATCATCCAACTGGGTAGGCATCGAAGGTGGCTTGGTATTGTGTCTATGGGGTCCAGAATATGCAGTTGGCGTAGCTACGGTGGATTGTCTCTTAGCCAGTTTGGACCATTTTGCTGGGGCACTGGTTTCCAGTGGTGCCGTTCTTTTTCATGACTGTCTCTCTTGCTATGGTATGAAGTCATCTCAATGTCGAGAGCAGTTTGGAGAGGGCGATCTCGGTGGGGAGTACAATGTTGGAGGAGGATATCTAGGTTCTCTAAAGTCATCATGGTATCCATGTTCATGGTACTGATATGGGTGGTTCTGAGTAATGATGTCTGTAGTACAGATGACGTGCGGTATGGCAGCAATGTTTCCACGTCAATGAGGTTGGTATGGAGAGGTATGTTGATGCTTCGCCGTTCTCTTTCTTGGAGAATGTACAGGAGATTTGAACTCAGACTCCATATCGACATTCGCCCGCCCAGATGTTCGATGACTATAATGAGCCACGGCCGGGATGGAGGGTGCATCAGCCTCAGAATGGCCTGAACTTGGAGAAAGGCTAAGAATAACATGAGGTTCCTGTGCTGAAGAAATAGCATGTTCCTCTCTATCGGAGAGTATAGGTGCTTTTCTATTCTTCTATCACAGTTGGAGGTATTGGCACTGGCGGGGCAGCTAAGGTAGTCAATTTAGTGGTTTTCTTTTGCTTCTTAGTCTTAACTTCTCGTGGTGGGTTTGACGAGGGAGGGGTCCTTCCATGGCAGGATTTAAGCTCTTTTCGTATAAATCTGATCTCAGATGCTGAAACCTCAGTTCAATGGCTGGTTTGGAGAGGTTCTTGCACGCGGTACAAGACTGGGCTTGGTGGGATTCACCCAAGCAAAACAAACATTTATTGTGTCTGTCTGTCAGTGGGATCTTATGGAGGCAAACAGAGCACCTCTTGAATCCCTGAGGAGCCATAAAACATGGAAGATTGATAGGGGGAAAAGGAGGGGAAGGCGGGAAACTAAAAAAAAAACATTTATAGGAGAAAAACTCTAATCACTAGGGTAGAAACCAATAGTGATTTAAATGAAAAAAAATTAAAGGAAAAAGGCAATTGAATAGAGGAAAAGACTATCTTTTACTTTCCTCAACGGAGCTCTACTGTTCCTATGTCCTGACCAAACGGCAGAAAAAAAGGAACTGAGGGAAGGTTGATGAGGTGGAGCTTACTCCCTAGGGGGTTATCCTGTTAGTCTTTTTTCTAAGCTCTAGAAACTTCCGAGGCGCAAAGAAACCCATTTGTGTGCATTCACAGAGGCCACTACAAAGAACTCTATTTTCAACTGAGTCACTCTATGCCATGGGTGGAGCACACGCGACCAGAGGGAGGTCCTAGCAAATAGGTGTAAAAGCTCTATAAGTTTCTGAGGGTCTCTGCGCACTAAAACCCATTTTTGTGCATTCATAGAGACCATGAAGAAGAACATGCCAGTTGAGATACATGAAATCACCACTATGAGGTTTTCCATGTAAATTAATACCTAACAACATTTAAGAAGCAGTGGCTGGACACAGATAACCATGTGAACTTATCCATACTCAAAATGTAGCAATTAATGTCAGGGGTCCACATGTGGGAGAACCACTTGGAAGCCAATTACTATGATTAAGAAACTTTAGCCTGAAGGCTGAAGGCCCTATGAGTGTAGTAGTCATCGGGGAGCACATATGCCAGCTTCCCACAATCCGTACTCAACCTTCATTCATTAGGTGCAGAGGTCTGAGGGAAGATTTTTACCACTGGATTCAAGAATGCAAGGAGGCTTTCCAAACTCTTTCAGCTGAACAGAATGAGAACCTTCAAACTGGGCATGGAAGGACCAGACATTGAATGTGGAAGGGTCTCTGGGTGAGGGTGCCAAGCCCACACTCCCTGCAGCTGCCTGCACAGTTTGCCTCTCATATGTTCAGGCTCCACATGCAAACAAGAAATTTGTTTATCAGCTTCAGTATTTTCTGGTCCATTTCTAAGTTGAATTCAAAGTGTTAGCTACTTCCTTTAAAACCCTACGTATTTTAAAGTCAGATAATGTAAAAGATAACAATCCAATTGTTAAAACAAAGTATAATATAGTCTATTCAGTAGATGCAGCAAAGTCAATGAAGACTCTTGTGGCATTTTAAAGATTAACATGCTTTATTTGGAGTAAACTTCTATGAACTGAAGCTGACTTTGTCAGTGGCTAGCAGTCTGCAAAGAATTACCCCAAATAAAACTTGCTTGTCTATACCAAATAAAACCCATGATACTTTTAAGATGCTGCAAGACATTTTGCTCATTTTGTTCCACTTGATTAAGGACTAGCATGATTCAGAATCTGGGAATGTCAGTAGACATACTGAATGACTGTGATTTGACACATATGCAGATCCTGTTGCTTCAACAGGTTTATTTTAGAAGGACTAATAACATTTATGCCAGCATCTTCTTTTATGAGCCCACCCACACTCCTAGTGACAGTGAGAATGCCCTCCATGTACGACCAGTGTCAGAATACAAGAAGCCTCGCTGAAGCAGTACTTACAAAGTTTATTCTTCAGGATGTTTTCCTACTCCCCATTAGGGTGTTATTTCAATGCCAGCTAAAACTATTTTATTCCAAGAAGGCTTTGGGTTTGCATGATTTCTGTACCTGAATTGTTTCTCCATCTTAGGATGTAAAACTTTAATTTATTACACTGTAATTGTAGGTGTATTGGCTGTAAACCAGCATAGGCAATACCAACACAACAGAACACAAGCAGACAAACATTTGAAAATAACATAATATACACTATCATTATCACATTTCTGTTCACTGACACATTCTGGTTACATTCTGTATATGTGAAACAACCAACATCTCTAGCAGCTTACCTGTATTATGTCTGTCTCTCTCATTTGAATGCTGTGTAAGATCAATTGTCCTGTCAATCTGAAAGATTTTTAAGTCTTCATCATCTAAGGCAATATCTCCCCAAAAGACAGCTTTAAATATAAAAAGAGAGCTTAATTTAAATATATTAAGAAAAGTATCATACAAACAGTTACTTTATATCTGTAGCCATAATCCAAAACAGAAGCAAGAATGCTTTAACCTTAAGGTTCCCAACATAGTGTCTATAGACAACAATGTGGCTACAGATATCTGCTCAGACATCCTCCAGAGTGCCTCATGCCTCTATCTAAAATACTGTACATATTTAAAATGAAAAGTGAAAAGAAAAAGAAAAAAAGAAAATGTTGAGAAGTTAGAGGACGTGGCGAGAATGAGGGAACAATCTGTTTACACAGCGTACATGTTTTCTGTCTCATAGCGCGACATGTTATCTGGCTTTTTTATTTGGCTGTTTTGTGTTATCTTTTGGCTGCATTTCATGTTGTGTATTTTGCTCATATTATTTGTATATATTATTTGGGGAGGGGGGTTTGCCTTGGTATGGTGAGGATGAGATTTGCCTCTACTTTTTCTGAGCATCATAATTGCGTCACATGTGACATTTTTGTGTGTCTCTGAGGAGACAAATACGTGATTTGACATTTGGACATCAAACCTCACTTCTGCCCTATACTATGTTTGTTGCCCAAGTTACTTGTCTCTGAGTCTCACCAGTTTTCATTCTGTAAAATTTGTGTTGGAGCAGGAAACTGGGAGTTGTGTCCCACCCTCCCCAGTTTATCTTCTGGGAAATAGATGTTTTGTGACTGGCCATGATTACTACAGCTGCCATTTTGTGAATAGTAAGCCCCCACTCATGCTAATTGTTTGAGATGCTCAGAAAATGCTAAAAATTGAATCCATCTATCAGTGCATTACATCTTTACTATTCTATGATTTTACTGTTCATTAAAAGTATTCATTATAACAAACAGAAATGTCTTATTGAGTATTTCTAAATGTGTAGTTTCTCTGTTCTTACAGTATATAGGGCTTTAATATGCTAAATTCCAAAATATTTTATCAATCTTCTTGATACATTTTTAACAGACATTGTTTCATCACAGAGCAGTTTTGCATCATTAGTCCATACCAACCTGTCAGCAGAAAAGATAATGCTGTACATCACAATCTAATCACCATTACACAAAAGCTGAATTGCATCAAACACAGCATGACTTTGTTGTGAATAAAACATACAAAGAGTTGTGCTGTAATTGCACTTTAGTTGTGGCACTTTCTATGAAAATGGAGTGCAAAAAGAACTGTGTGGAGTTATGTTTTGAAACAAAACATAGGGATCGGAGAATGTTGCAGTCATCTAATAAAGCTGAATAGATCATTAAGCTTGCGCTGGTCCTACAGAGCCCTGATATGCTGCTGTGTTTCAAAAACATCACAATACAAGGGAGCTAACAAATATGTTACTGTAGATAAAATTGAACTGCAGTTCTCATTAGCAGTGCCCACCACAACTAACATTGATGGATGATGAGGGCTGCAGTGCAACATGTGGAGAACTACATTTTGCATTCCAGTCTCAGCTGCACTAGTAAACTACTAGAGACCAAGTCAAGGCCACTATACAGTGGTGCCTCGCTTAACGATTGCCCTGCTCTACGACGAAATTGCTGTATAATTAGGTTTTTGCAATCGCTTTTGCGATCACAAAACGATGTTTTAAATGGGTTCTCTTTTTTTGTTTAATGATGATCAGTTCCCTGCTGCAGGAACCGATTTTTGCTTTACGACAATCAGCAAACAGCTGATCGTCGGGTTTCAAAATGGCCACCGGCTGCTTAAAATGGCTCCCTGCTGTGTCTTTGGATGGATTCCTCGCTTTACAGGCAGCGGAAATGGCCGCCCCTATGGAGGATCTTCGCTGGACGGTGAGTTTTCAGCCCATTGGAACGCACTGAGGGGTTTTCAATGCATTTCAATTGGCTTTTTTATTTTGCTTTATGACGTTTTCGCTCTACAGGGATTTCGCTGGAACGAATTAACGTCGTTAAGCAAGGCACCACTACCTTAACTCAAAGAGTTCGGCAGGTTTAAACTGTCAACCTAAATCAATCCACAAGGAAAGAATCTTATCCAGAAAGAATCCAGGAGACTTACAATTTCTATAATACCTGCAGCAGAAGTGATTTTCAAATGTGTTTAGCAGTGTAGTCCTGTCCCTTAGCAGAAAGCACTGCATTTTGTGACAAAAACACCATGTGGAACAGGTGTAAAAGGTTTTTTTTGTAGCTATCAGTGATCTGGGTTAATGTTATCTGACTGTTTGGTTTAAATGTTATATTGAAACCATTTCAAAGATTTGTATGGGGAGTATTTTATTGGAATGTTTATACTGATGTAAATACAACTATACTTCGCTTATATTTAACAAAAATGACTATATCTGAAAGAACACTGTTTTTAAAATACATTCCTAAAAGCAGCTGGACCTGATATATCTTATCACAACAGTTTAACTTTCTTTTGTTGAGGTATAACTGTAGTATTTTCAGTTGCCATTACTCACTTTTTGCACTACTTTCCATTTCAAACTGAGAAAAATCTGATTGGTTCAACTAACTAAGCACTCTATTTCAATACAAGATGGTTGTGAGTCTCTTGTCAATCTCATTTTATCTTGACTACTTCTACTTGTGACTGATTGAGAAGCAAAAAATTTGGGGGAAAATAAAAACAAGCTTAGAAGTGATGCTCATTTGCTGGTATATTTGTCCTCCGGCATGTACAAGAGTACAACTAGATGGGCCAATTATCCCAGCCTGGATTGGTCTAGAGTGTACAAGACAGAGTCACTTTAAGGTGCAGTATATCATTTTGGGTGATCCTTATATCTACGTGCAAGCACTGACCAGACTGCACATCAAACAACCCTGTTTATCATGATTAAGACATAGTGTCTTTCACTTTAAAATGGAAGAGAGGAAATCCCTCTCCTGTTTCCTCCTTCATGCTTTGCCTGAGTCACTTAATCTTGAGAACCGTGAATCTTCCTTGCCTCTTGCCTATGAAAGGGAAGGGACAGAATTTTTGCATTTACTTTTAATTGTTGCTAAATGACACAGTGCATCAGCAACGCTTTGAAAGGACTTTTTAAGCAGCAATTAAAGAAAAAAGCAAAGGTTCCTCTTCATTCTTCTCTGCAAGCAAGTGGAAAGAAAGCTTCCCATTTCTCAAGGTTGTTAAGTGACTTCACAGGGACAGTCAACCAACCACTTTGGTTCAATTCCAATAATCACATCAGCTAGAACCAAACTAAAACAGGGCAATCTTACCTGCACCACCAAAAAAGTAGGGTTTTGCCCCGACAGGAATGCAAAAAGGTGTGGATAGACATCGATCAGGGGTGGGCTGGTTTGCAATGGTATGTATGTATGTCATGTGCTTGCTGGGAAAAGGAGCAAACCAGTCCATCCCCAACACGGACCAAACTGCTGAATAAATACGCATCTGATCACACCCTAAGTATGGTCCACACTATGTCAGAAGCCAACAGCATTGTGCACACGAAGAGGTTGTCATATGTGATTTCTCAATTTGCATACAGCGAAATATTAGATCAGTATTTGTCTCCTTAGAAGAATAACTTATAGAGGTTCACATCCCATATTTAGCCTATCTAATATGTTTACAGTACAACAACCAAGATAACTGCAGATAAATATAGAAATATAAGGTGCAGAAAATTTATCTGACATAGTACTAAATCAGAAAACATTTAAACATAGTTTAAAACATGGTTCCAAGTAGAGACAACAGATGCTTACTTAAGGAGGATGTTTCCATTGTACTGTAATACCATACAAGGCTGCAGCATATTCTAGTACAGCATGAACATCACTTTTAAGTGAATGTCTATTCTCTCTCTTCTAATTTTTTTTTAAATTATGCTTTTTGAGTTTAGTGCTATGTCAGATAAACACTGTAGTTTCACAAGTTGTTATATCAATTAGCCACAGTTTTATTTTTAAAGAGAGGAGCCGGCAAAAAGGGCAGTGTTAACGGCAGAAGAGGGTATACAACTAGTGGTCCCACTGAAAATCATAGCAATTTGAAGCACACTGTGGACTCTTGCCCCCAAAATTATTCAAGATAATTAAACATTCTTTGTCAACAACAACTACAATGTAACAGCCCTCAATCACTCTCAGGCAGCTGCCCTGTCCAGCTGCATCCTAACACTGCTCCCATCACACTCATGAGACATTTTATAATTCACCTCTCCCATTAGCAGTACTGATAAATATTTAATTTGTTGTGTATGCACACAGGAACTAAAAATGTAGGAAAGAGAAAAATACACATAGCTTTTAATTCTATTTAGCTATTTTATATTGCTATTGTTGGAACTGTAAACGTGAGAAAAGAAAAAGCAAAAAAAATCTAATATGATCATTATAATTTCAATATACCTACAATTTGTTGCTCAACAATCTGTCTCATCAAGTAATTACCATAAAAATAAGATTTTTAGAATTCCCTTTGTTGTACAGATTCTTGTAAAGAATGTCCACAATATTTGCAAATAATCTCTGATTTCAGAGAGGGAGGTAACTTAAAATAATAGATCAGGTTGAATATGTAGTCTCCAGCTCACTTATTTTCTTGAACTGACATACAATTCAGCATCCCCATTTGACTGACACATCACACAAAGCATAAAACTAGATATTCTACAAAGAGAAAGGGCAAGAGGCCAGAAAATACTGACTAGAAGGTGAAATAATTATACAGTAATTTAACTATTTTTATCTGTAGTTAAGTTTAAAATTATGAGATCAAGCACATGCCTGGTCTTGTCAGCTCCCCAGGGAGAAATAATTGCTTATTTTCGTAATTCTTTAGGGAAAGCACCAGAATACCTACGCTGCAGGGGTACTGAGAAGTAAAGAAACTAATTCATTTTTTCTCTAAAACCTTCTTACAGTTATGAAGAAAATAATTCACTTTTAAGCTTCTACAAATTTAATTTTCTTACACACTACACAACATTTCATCTCACAGATCATATCATACATATGCTTTGAAATTT